AGAGAGAGAGAGAGAGAGAGAGAGAGAGAGACTTGTGCGTTTAGCGCGATACTAAGAGCTTCTGGCGAGTTTTCAGTATGCGGAGTTGTTGGTAAAGCTGTTAGGGGAAGGGAGGGCTTGTATATAGACGTGAGAGAGCTGGCATAGGGTTGGAACATAACGAGATAGAGGTAAGAGGTGGAAGGAAAAGTCGGTGGCGGGAAAGAAGATGGGACATGCATTTGAGAGAAAACTGAACGAAATATCTGTGCTTCTGTGTGTGTGTGTGTGTGTGTGTGTGTGAGAGAGAGAGAGAGAGAGAGAGAGAGAGAGAGAGAGAGAGAGAGAGAGAGAGAGAGAGAGATGGGTGCGTTTATCGCGACACTAAGCGTTCTTCTGGCGAGCTTTCTGGTAAGTTTTGAGTGTGTGAAGATGTTGGCTGGCAAAGGTGTTAGAGGGAGGGCTTGGAGATCACAGCGGAATTTTGTAACTCGATCTCACAAGCGGCGGGTTATGGTGATGACCGCACCCAGGCTTTGTGTCGTTCTTTTTTATTTTGTCATTTGCTTTTTCTCTTTCTTGTCCCCTCTGTGTCTTTCTTGTCTTCTGGCTATCTCTCGCGTGTTTTTTCCTTGTTCATAATAATGTCTTATTTTCTCACTTCCTTTTGCCCCCTGTTTTTCTTCTCTTCTACCCTCCCGCCCTCTCTCCTTGGAGGCTTCCCCCTTTCCTTTCTCTCTTGCTGTCTCTGCCATCTGGTAGTATAAACAAATGCTAGCCGAGGACATACTCGTCCCAGGGCTTTCCTGAATGTACCTGGCGGAAAGTATGGGCGTAGTCATTTGAGAAGGCAGTGCGAGTATGCCCTGGGATAAGCGCACTTAGCTCAAGTAACGGGAGCGGAAGATAAATAGTGAAGAAGAAAAGTAAATGCTCGTCAAATGATAAAGCCAGATGGTGCCAATGCGACTGGCGCGGGAACAATCTAAGCTTCTTCTTTTCTTCTTCTCTTCGCCGTTTCCCGCTCCTCCTTCCTGCCCCCTCTGGTCCCTGCCCCCTCCCCCTCCTCCTCCATCCTCCCCCTCCTTTTCCATCCTCCCCCTTCCTCCTCGCCCCCGCTTCCACCCAGGTTGGCTGTTGCCTCTCTCTCGACCATTCTCCAAAATGGGGGGGAGGGCCGTTTTTTGGCGGGAAAGAGTATTCAGCTGCGAACTCTGCAAGCTTAAGCTACCTTCAGTCATATCTCCACCTTCTCCTAAATGGGCGGGAGGACCGTTTTTTGGCGGGAAAAAGTCTTCAGCTGCGAACTCTGCAAGCTTATCTCCACCTTCTCCTAAATGGGCGGGAGGACCGTTGTTTGGCGGGAAAGAGCATTCAGCTGCGACCTCTGCAAGCTGTAGCTACCTTCAGTCCTATCTCCACCTTCTCCATAATGGGCGGGAGGACCGTTTTTTGGCGGGAAAGAGCATTCAGCTGCGACTTCTGCAAGCTGTAGCTACCTTCAGTGCTATCCCACTCACTCACTTTGGGGCGAACATCTTCCTTGCGTTATGACTATTGATAAGCAGGTCACCCATTGGCTCGCCAAGGAGGAGTGCAGGGAGCGATTTTCGGCGATCTGGGAGCCCTCCGAGAAAGTAAGAACTCTAGCATGCATGGCCTGTGTTCTCTTCTGTTTTTTGTGTGTGTGCTGTTTCTTTCCTTTTTTGTGTTGGTTCTTTTTCCCTTTTGTGTTCTTCGAGTCACACATGGCTTGTTTCTTACTCTGAGGAGCCTTGCATCCCAGTTTCAACTGACAGCTTGTCTTTGCTCTGTCCTAGTTTGGGTTTTTTGCCTCCCTTCCTTTCCTGTCTCCTGGGCTAGAGTGCATGTAGCACTGGCCCATCCTTGCAACACGTGCTGTCAATTTGTCCGAAGCCATCCTTTTGACCCCTGCCAAACGGGGCAGGTATAGGGTCTACCGTCTTCAACCGAATAGAACGCTCGGTCATTATCGCTGCACCTGGACCGAAAGTTGTCCCAAATACAGCTAAAATGACCGGGCGTTCTATTCGGTAGCCCTACATTGGATCACCCACCACGTCAATCTCTCGCCTAACCACTAGTACCTTTGCCGCTTGGAAAATAGCGGGCCTCGGGTAGGCATCCGACCTTTGCAGCGGCCCAAACGAAACGACGGCCGCCGATCGGATTTATCAATGGCAGTCGTCGTCGGGCCCGACCTCCGAAAATTCAGGCGATTGGGAAAACTGCCAGTTTTCCCTATTTTCCCACGTGGGAAAGGTACTTCCTAAAGTCGTGCCCGTTAACGCTACGCGATTTTAGGAAACGTACGGGCCACTACAGGAGCGCCCAAATTCATCTAACTAGAAACGTTTCTACTCTATTTTTTTCCGCGGCCGATAGCTGGGCCAAGTGCTGGTGGTTTAAGTTTTGGGGCTTAGAGTTCGGTGCTTTGACTTCTCTCTGCTTTTACTCCTGGCTTCGACTTCTCACTTTCGCTTGGACTTTTAACGTTGACTTCCCACTCAGACTTAACTTTGACTTCTCACTTTGACTTCTCACAGATCGCCAAGCAGGAGTACTGGACATCGCAGTCTGACTTGTCCTCACGTTTTCTCCTTTAACTACTGACATTGTCCTCTCCATTTGACCACGTCCTTTCTTTCTCAATGCCAAGGCATCCACCCAATGCATTATTTTGGATATAGCAGGGCCCTTCGCTACTTCTCACTTTTGTTTTATATCATATCATAGACTGATAGAGCCTAAGGCGGCACGCCCGTCAGTTAGGGCGTGCCGTATGTCGGTCGCCTTATCTTATCTATGTCTAATCTATCAGAACAATTAGTTAAAACGTGGGAGTGTTTTACAATGTTCAGTGGAACAAATACAAGATAACATGGTGGTGGTTGAAACAGGGCTGAAAACCCACTCAGACTTAACTTTGACTCTCACTTTGACTTCTCACAGATTGCCAAGCAGTACTGGACATTGCAGTCTGACTTGTCCTCACGTTCTCCTTTAACTACTGACATTGTCCTCTCCATTTGACTTTCTTGCTTTGACTTTGACGTCCCACTCAGACTTCACTTTGACTCTCACTTTGACTCTCACTTTGACTCTCACTTTGACTTCTCACAGATCGCCAAGGAGTACTGGACATTGCAGTCTGACTTGTCCTCACGTTTTCTCCTTTAACTACTGACATTGCCCTCTCCATTTGACTTCTTGCTTTGACTTGAACTCACTTCTCAGTTTGACTTCTCCTCACTCTGACCTCTCCAAACTTTTCACTTGTGGTCATTTTGTCCTCTCACTTTGACCTCTCACTGTGATTTTTCTCGAACTGGACCACTTGAGTTGTTTATAGGCCCGGGGAAGTTTCTTAGGCGCTAACGTGATTCCATCGGGCTTTTTTGGCATTGAAAACGGAACCTTGTCAGGTAAGTTGAGATGGAACTCATGATGGGGTCTTATCACTTGCTCCATAACTGGATTAATATTGTGCTACCTTCTTCCCCCGAATACGACGAACGGTCATTATAGCTGTATTTGAGGCATCTTTCTGTCTAGATACAGCGATAATGACCGTACGTTGTATTCGGGGTAAGAAGGTAGTCAAGATCCGGGGACATCTTGTAAGACCCAGGCAGTCTACCACGTGGTGCAGAGTGGGACAAGCTTTACCACACGTAGTCTTAATTTG